CCAAGATGTGGATTCTGTAAAGTGTTGAACTCCCTAAATGTGAATGTTTGAATACATGTACCTCCTCAGACTTGGGCTTCTGACTTCAACACCATTTTGCAAACTTGCTTGAGAACCAAGCACTGGTTTCATTACATGGTGCTAAGTACAGAAACCCGTCATATAAGGGAACACATAGATGACAAGAGATCTGAGGGTACGCTATGGAAAATGCAAACTATAATGATTCAAATAAGTGTTCTTGATATTCATGAAATGCTTCTCAAATCCTGAATCTCAACTACATTTGAATAAAAAGATCCTGGGACTTCTGAAGACTTTTACAGTGTGTTGAGTTGTGTTTTTTCCCTTTCCCTTTCTCTTTCTTTTTGATGTTACTGCTTTCTTTCTTCATTTTGCTAATCTGAAATCGGGCTGCCAACAGGAAATAAAGTATTATTCACAGAGCTTCTAAATTGCAACCCGGAATTCCAGGCGGTCCAATAAAGGTGAGGAAAAGTGTGTCAGTGTTAGTTAGCTATGTCCACAATTTTCCCGGATGCCCATGGGGAGAATGCACTCTTTGTTAACATCAGCTTTCAGACACTAAAACAAATAACTGAGATGATTAGATCTATTTATAAAGAGAAAGGTTTATTTTAGCTTATAGTCCAGTATTGGACCTGTGGCAAAGCAGCATGCTGTGGTCAGAACATGAGGTAGATAGAGCATTACTGTAGAGAGAGAGAGAGAGAGAGAGAGAGAGAGAAAGAGAGAGAGAGAGACTAGGGTTCCATAATCCACTTTGAGGTTAGGCCTGCCCTCCTTCATTGACCCAAAGCCATCCTGCTAGGCCTACCTCTTAAAGTTCTACCACATCCCAACAGTGCCAAGCAATACCTTTGGGAAACTCTCAAGATCCAAGCCACAGTACCCTGAGAAGTAAACCTTCATTTGTGTGTCAGAGTTCACCTGAAATAAAAGACTTTTAGTTTTCTTTATGACATTAAAAACCAATTTTCTTAGATCCTTTTTTGGAGTCAAAGACGTTGTTGGTAGACTGCTTGCCTAGAATACATGACGCCATGGGATCGAGCTCTAGCATCACAGAAAAAAGGGTTGGTGGTACATGCCTGTACTCTCAGCACTTGGGAGGTAGAGGCAGGAGGATCAGAAATGCAAGGTTATCCAAGGCCATACATAAGATAACATGAGATACATAAGACCCTCTCTTAAAAATATTTTTCCTCTTTGTACTGAATTTTTGTGATTTTCATACAATATAATTTGATAGTACTTAGATTCCCTTCCCCTATCTGCATCTCCGAGTTTTGCCCCTCCTGCCCAATTGAATGTACACACACACACACACACACACACACACACGAATATAATAAGGCCAATGGAGCCTAACCTGTGTCTCCAAACGTCCTTCAGTGTAGGTCAGTTCATTGGTTTCTGGTTAACCTCCCAAGAGCCCTATCCTTGAAGGAGACTGTCTCTGCCCCTTTCCTTAGGTTGGGTTGGGGTTTCTTAGCCACATCCACATGTCTATACTGGATTTTTTTTCTGGTTTGAGCTTGTATGGGATTCGTGCATGCTGTCTCCATTGCTGTGAGTTCATATGAATAACTGATCAGCTCTCTGGGAAACTTTCCTTGTGCTTATCCACTTCCTCTGGCTCTTAGAATCCTTCTGTCCCCTCTTCTGCAATGATCCCTGAACCTTGGGAGGCAGAAGTTTCATACAGCTGTCCTATTCAGGGATAAGTACTCTTCAGCCTCTTGTTCTCTGCACATTGGCCAGTTGTGGGTTTCTGTGTTAACTGTTATCTGCTGCATAAGGAAGCTTCTTTGGTGAGAGTTGTGAGATGCATTAATTTATATGGCTCTCCTCTATGTACTGTGACCTGTCTAGCCTCAGGTTCTTAAGCCTGATATCAATGTCAGGTATGGGTTTCCTCCTATGAAATGGACCATAAAACCAATTAAAGAGTGCTTGGTTACTCCCATAATATTTGTGTCACTATTACACTGGTGGGCATATCTTGCCAGGCCAGTTGGTATTGTAGTTCACAAGATTCACAGCTGTGTCTCATTAATGATCATTTTTCCTTTGGTAGCTTGCAAAGCACCTTCCAGCACTATGGATGCTAGCCAGTAGAGATGAGGTTCTGAAGTCAGCTCCAGTTTGATTTCTCCTTCTTTGTTCTACAGCTCATGTATGTAGTGTCTTCAGCAATAGGGTCTTACCATGACATTCTAGTGAGTAACTAAGAGCAGAGGCAATGACCAGTATTGTTTGAGGGTCTACAGGACCCATCGTCAACAGCTTCTAGATAGGAAGTTCATTCCTGAAACTGAGGCTTTTTTCATTAGCCTATGATACCTAAGGGGTGATGTCTCTCCATTATAGGATATCTCCATTTAATCTCTTTTTATGATGTATATGTATATACCTTTAAGAAGTTTCTATAGCGGTATGTTTCCACGTGACTTTTTCTAAAGGCCTTTAATGTGACTTGTCCCTCTCCATGCTTCCTCTTCTGGCTTCCCATTCCCCACTACATTTAACCCTTCCTACTCCAATGTTCCCATTTCTCCCTTCATACCATGGCATTCTACCACCCCACCCAGGAAGCCTCCCCTGCCATGGCCATTTGTTCATTTCTTGACAGCTCTGAATTTTCAAATAGAAACATTCATATCTAAGTTTTCAAAGCTAGCATACAGGTATGAGAGAGAACATGTGACATTTGTCTTTCTGAGTCTGGGTTACCTCACTCAGGATGATTGTTCTATAAGACCCTCTCTTTTTATTTTATTATTTACTATTTATTATTTTATTTTATTACTATTTATATTATTTATTTTATTATTTATTTAATTTTATTATTCTATAAAGCCTTCTCTTTTTATTTTTTATTATATATTTTTATTGATTTTTTTTGTGTATTTCACTTAGAACAGC